AACTGGTTTGTTCCATTTTGGAGTAAGCTGTTGGGGGAATAATCAGTTTTGTTGTGTGTTTCCTTGAGTGATGAAGCCTTCCGGACCGAAGGCAAAATGTTTCAGCACACACAAAAAAAAAGAAACTGTCCAGATGACCTGACTGAAAAATGTTGGATTGAATACCTGGATTATTGAGCATAGACTTTGTTGAAGAATAAAAGTCATAATTTTGAGTTTCAAAGTCATAATTTCGAGTTTTAAAGTCATAATTATGAGAATAAAAGTCATAATTATGAGACTAAATGTCAAAATTTCGAGTTTTAAAGTCATAATTTCAACTTTTCTAAGTTTATTTTGAAGTTTGTCCCTTGCTGGACACCGTGAAATGTAACTTCCTGTCAGACACCAGTAGTTTTCCTGCATAGCACATGGATTCATTCATTTAATGTATGTCCCTCTGCCTTCAAACATCAATTCTTTTAAATAAAGGTATGTAATGTATACATCGTTTCATTGCCACTTTTTATAGCATTCAGTTTCTAAGCCCATTTCCGCTATGAAATAAAAGCCCAACAGGAAGTCATAATTGAGTTTTAAAGTCATAATTACGAGAATAAAAGTCATAATTATGACTTTTGTTCTCGTAATTATGACTTTAAAACTTGAAATGATGACTTTTATTCTCATAATTATGACTTTAAAACTCATAAGTATGACTTTTATTCTCGTAATTATGATTTTAAAAGTCAAAATTATGACTTTAAAAGTCAAAATTATCACTTCCTGTTGGGCTTTTATTTTTTTCTTTCATGGCGGAAATGGGCTTCCATAGTGGTAAAACACATGTAAGCATTTACATACAGCTCATCTGAATCTGCTTTCTAGGGATTCAGACATTTTTCTGTCCAGTCCTGTGGACTGTGGACTTAGCCTGCCAAAAGACCTATAGGCTCTGGTTTAATTGAGACCTTGAACTTGTGAATGACTTGATTCAGTGAGAGGGTTTTTGATCATTAACCTGGGTAAGTCAGGAACCGACCAGCTCTCAGAATCTGCCAAAACCCACATGGACGCTTGAGTCACGGGACTGACCTACACATTTTCACTTTGGCTGTTTTCGTAGGTAAACTAACGCTCATGGTCTTTAGTATCCTGTCACCAATTTTGCTTACAACATGTTGATTTAAGGACACATTGAAGAATGATATGATAAAACCACTGTGTAAATTTTATTTTGCTATGGATATTTTTTCATGACTTTGTAATGAGTAACTTTAAACTAGTCTCGCTCGTTATTTCTTCAAGCTTTTTGAGTCTTTGAAAGTTTCTTTTTCAGGTCAGTCCTTATCAGACATGACATTCAGATATTCTTCTGCTGTGACAAGTTTATTTTAGGCCAGACGCTTCTTTTTATGAACTTTCCATTTGTTTGAGCATAGACGCTGCTGTGGTTCAAGAGCAGAACAGAGAATGAGAGAAAAACTAAAGTCCAAAAGAACAAAACCTTGAAAAAGCTTCATAAAACCTGTAGAACAATCAAGACCACTTTAAATGGGGACAAGAACGTCTGACTCTGGAAGCAAAGTATAAAGAAGTACTCAACCAAAACATGGTTAATAAGAATATAAAACTGATAATCTGGTCATAAAGTCATTTTTGAGTGTTTGGTGGAAGTCTGTGAAATAGTTTTGTAAGTCTTTTGTACATTTGATTAAAAGCAGAAATCAAGTTGCTCTATGAAGCAAACCCTTCTCCATTTATAGTCCAAACGCACGTGGCAGCCGTTACTTTATCTGCACGTCTCAAACGTTGACTCGGGGTGGGTGTGACCACTACCCTGCTGAGATAAACAACTGAATGGCCTTGGCTGTCCAGGTGTGTGAACAACGAAATGTGGCCTCTGTCACACTTAATGTTTGGATTGTGTTTATGAGAAATAAAATTTTTCATTGCAAATAAAATAAAGTTAATGTTCAAGCAGGATGACTGTCTGTGTTTGATAGTTTGAACATTTATGCCCAAAGATAAGACAATCAGACTGCTGTAGCTTTCACCATCAGCGTCTGTTGTAGAGCTACAATCATTTGTGTGCTCAACAATCAGACTGATCTGGAAACACTTTTGACAGAGTAGAATAATTAGAAAATAATCTTGAATAACCCAGATTTATCTCAGTCCATGTGCACTTTTGTAGAATATGTGTGTTTTTAAGATTACAGTACCCTGCCTCTGTAATACAATGTGATAAACGGTTAATGTATAAATAAAGAGAATGAGTACATGTGGCTCGTTCAGTCATTTCTGCTGAACTGAATTTGTCCTCGGAAAGAATGAACATGTTCGTTTTGCATCATCTAGGAAACATCAATCCATCATCTGTACCCGCTTCTTCCTTTTCAGGTCAGGGGTTCACTGGTGCCCATATCCAGCCACTGCATGAGAGACAGGGGACACCCTGGACAGGTCTCCAGTCCATCACAGGGACACATAGAGACAAACGAGACAAACAACCATTCACTCTCTCACTCACACCTAGGGACAATTTAGAGTTACCAATCAGCCTAACATGCATGTTTTTGGTCTGTGGGAGGAAACTGGAGTACCTGGAGAAAACCCACGCATGCACGGAGAGAACATGCAAACTCCACCACACTGTTCAGCCCTCTGCATACTCACCTTGAACGACCCACATTAGGAAAAGCCAATTATTTTTGGCTTATTGCTCCATCAGTGTGTGTGATTTCTCTACATTTACTGGATGAAGCTGAAGATCGTAACAGAGAATCCTAGTTGACACAGAAATCTTCAAGAATATGATTAAATATGACTGTTCCTCTTATTGCTGGATGTAAGAGTCACATTGCTACTCATTTTTACTTGACATAATGGAAAACAGGACTTCTGTTCAAAATATTTAACCATTTTCAATGATTATCCTAAAAATTTCTCTATCAGTAAAGTATAACAGTCTCATGACTGAGATGTTTTAAAAAAAACTGCTTGAATAGGCAAAAATAGGTATTAGCGTGGAAAGTGGGGTGGGAGGAGTATGGTGCAACAACAGTAACTTGACCCAAGGAGCAAAATGTAACATTGTAGTTTTCCTTTTCTTAAGCCAAGATGCTAACAAAACATTGTTAGCTGTAGCACCGTAGAGGATGACAGAAATGAGGAAAGTGGGAATCCTTAGAGGGATGCATGTTGCATGTCAAACATATAAACTGCTGGGTAAAAAAAATAAGTTTGTTACCTGTGCTGATTTAAATTTGAACAGAGACAATCAGTACCGTACTTGCCGCCGTACTGTTCGCACCGCTGTACAAGTCGTATCAGTCCAAATATGTCTATCCATCCATTATCTTTACCCGCTTATTCCATTTTGGGTCACGGGGGTCGCTGGTGCCCATGTCCAGCAATCACTGTGCGAGGGGCGGGGTACACCCTGGACGGGTCGCAAGTCCATCACAGGGACACATAGAGACAAACGAGACAAACAACCATTCACTCTCTCACTCACACCTAGGGACAATTTAGAGTCACCAATCAGCCTAACATGCATGTTTTTGGTCTGTGGGAGGAAACCGGAGTACCCGGAGAAAACCCACGCATGCACGGAGAGAACATGCAAACTCCACCCAGAAAGGCCCCTGGACCGGGATTTGAACCAAGGACCTGCTCGCTGAGAGGCAGCAGCTCTACCAGTTGCGCCACCGTGCTGCCCCCAAATATGTTTAATAAAGTGGAAAAAAAACATAAATATGTTGCATCATCGTATAAGTTGCATCTATTATGCGTCACCACTGACGTGTCGCATTTGTTACACGTCACCGCTGACCACCTGGAAACGTAGGCCGCTGTTCAAAAAATCGAATGGCTGCCAAATGGCGGCAGCTGGAGCGAGCATGGGAGGACTTTAACAAGAATGTAACGAGATTAACACCTAAAAACAATTATTTGTTTGCTTGACATTATAGTAAAGGTGTGTCTCAGTTGAACGTTTCCTTAATAAATGCACTTTAATAGTCAACTCAGCTGCCTTTCACCTGAGCGACGTGGCGAAATGCAGCTGATTTGAGGTGTGCTCCAGGAGTTCCAGAGCGAGACAAAGGTGGTCTGTATGGCAAGCCAAGTGTCTCATTGATAGCCATTTTTACCTTTTAATGAGACACTTGGCTTGCCATATTAGTTGAGGGCCCTCTAGTGGTTGAAAATGGTAGTGTTCAATATTTTCCATGTCAGAATGAATGAAATTGTCAGATCTCAGCCAAAAATTGGGTTATAAATGGGGGGAAAAAAATAAAAATATGTCCCATCGGTGTATAAGTCACTGACATGCAAGTTTATGCAAAAAACTGTGACTTATACAGCGGAAAATACGGTACTTGGCAGGGCTGGGTTTTCAGTTGATTTAAAGGGGTAAAGTTTTCAACCTAAAATTTGGGTTGAAATTACACATTTGTTGAATTAAACACCTAAAAAGTTGAGTTAAGAAGAAGAAACCAAAGTCTGCCTTATTAGTTACAACTTGGATCCATAAAGGGAGCTTGCGCTTATCACTATTAGCAACAGCTAAAAACCCAAACTCACTGCTAGTTAAGCAATTCAACCAAGTGAAACACTTTCTGACAGTTCTTTTTACAGTCATTTATGTCCTCAAACAGATTCAGGCTGATTTGGTCAATGTCTGGCTTAAAATGGTGGGTTGTGAAGAATGTCTTGCTCATCAATTCAACTGGGTTAGAACTTTTGAACAAACCAATCCAACTTATGACCCAGCAACAACTGAGTTATGAAAACAACCAGCACTTTTTAGTTTGTTAGAGACGACTCTATCACACCAGGTTTGGCTCAGTTTCTGTAAAAATGACTGATCAGGTCCCATTTTTGTGTTTGCTAAAGTTGATTTGATGAAGCAGCCTGTTTGTGAATCACTTCAAAGGTTTATCAGTTCCAGTGGTTACTTAAAAAAGTTTAATTGAAGTCACCAGCTTTTCATAGCAATGGGTGGAAATAACATCACATAAACCAGTTTTCTCTTGTTGTTCCTGTTTATATTCAAGCTGACCAGTGGTCATCTGCCAACATCATAGGATTCCTGCCTGACCTCATCTGTTAGTCATACATCACCAGAGCAAACAAGAAGGGGCTCAGAGCTGATCCTTGCGGTTCCACCTCCGCCTTGAAGATATTTGTCCTACAGCTCAGCAGGAGTTAGCAAAAGACACACACACAACATTGTGCACAAAACCACTCAATCAGTGACATTAGGAATTTAAATATGATACATTTTTAATTAAGCTACAGTAAGAAGACAACCACATGTTTAGTGTTAGAACAGCAGGACAATTAGGAATCTGTCATAATGTGTGTCATAGTTTAAACAGCTGGAAATGCAAAGTTTTTTTTTTTATCAAAGTTTGTTATTTGGTGCATGTGGTAGTATAAGCTGGACTCTTGTCATCACTGGGAGGTCAAAGGTCAAATAAAGTATCCCATTTGGAAAAACTCTGAATGTGGAGGTTCACTGATGGAGGATCAATGCTCAGTTCAACCCACTGAACAGGACTTCTGCTGCCGATAATAAAAGTTGCAGTATTTTTTCAGTTGCTCCTCTTCACCTCCTGCTCAGTCCCCTGATCCTCAGCCTCCTCTTTCTGCGTCAAACTGTTGTTTGATTGGTCAGAGACAGTCTCGAGCACCTTGGCGCTGTGCTCCAGTGCCTTGGCTCGCAGCACAGCGATACTGTTCTCCCTCAGTTCCTCTTTCGAAACATCCTTACGCTGTTTCTGCCTCGCTTCCTCCGTCGTTTTGTCCATCCTTTTCTCGTGTACTGGTACCAGTGAGCAGCTGCTGGGTTTTTCTGGGGAGGTATGTGAAGGCTCAACTGATTTCTTGTGCATACCTGAGGGAAGGGAAGTTACTGATATTAGATCGTAACAGAAATAAGCCTAAAGTATGTCTTGTTCTGTTGAGTTTAGCAATGAAAAGAGAAAAATGAAGGCAGAGGAGTCCAATAGGTGATTAAAACGAGCCTCTTATTCAATTAGAGCTATCTATTTGATTTAAACTAATCAATTGACATGAAGTGACATAATACTAATCTGTCCTGATGCAGGATTATCACTGTATTGATTAACGACATACTGATGACCTCATTGATCCCTATATGAGTCAGGATTACCCATCCTCCTTTATCAGAATACAGCTCAGTTTCACAAAAACACAAATAAAAGGAAAATTAACATGTATTTATCAAAAGCAAGCTGGCACTTAATGTTTTTTGTAATAAAAAAAATATTTTTTATTTGAGAATTTATGTTTCTTTATGCAACATTAGTAATCCTTTAGCCTACCCAGTAACCAGGGAGCGTAAGAGTCTGAGATGCCGTCCTTGGCTGACTTGAGGATGGACTCAGGCAGCGGGATGGAGTGACGGACCATGGCGCCGTACAGACCGTACTCCGCCATCACACTGCTGCGACCCCAACACTTCTCACGCTTCCTCCACTTGGCCCTGCGGTTCTGAAACCAGACCTGCAGACGAACAAAAACATGACCTAAAACATCTGCCGTCTCCTTACTTTGTTCTTGTAAAAAATGGTTTTAAGGAAAAGAAATTAATGCATGGAAATTAATTTTTAGAGCAGACTTTGTGGAAACTTATTTGTATTTTACATGCAGATGGAACAGACGACAAACTAAACCTCCAGATATATTGTGGAAGTTTCAGGAGACGCCAGCCGTGTAACCGATCTCATGTCTCGCAGTGAGGAGTGTACAAAACGTTCACAGGATCATAGTTGGTCGTCTTTGGATCTGCTTATCATACATATACATATATATATATACATATATATATATATATATATATATATATATATATATATATATATATA